ACATTATCAAGATGCATCAGTTATTCTGTTAAATTGTTAAAAAAGTAAAAATAATATGTTGTTCGGTAAAATGTTTCAAAAACAACAGTTTGCACATTTATTAACAAAACTATTCCTCATCACTCGGAGTGTCACTGACATGCTGAAAGTGTTTTTATGCCACGACAGCACTGCAGTAACAGCCGAGAGGGCATCGTGCCGTATTCTGCTGGTGAGGAACAAAGAACAAAGGCGGCGCCACATAACTATTAATAAGACAAAGAATCGTTTTTCCCTTCAGCGTACCTACAATTTGTAGCATTACCAATTAAACATGAAGACGTAACTCACATTAACGGCAGTATTATACATTATTCATTATATTTGGATTATAGGATTGGTGATAGATTTTATTAAGTGAACATTTTTAATAGATACTCCGGATGTGTTGTGCCTTTTTTTCCCCCCCAAATGTTTTACCCGTGTCCCTACAATAAAACAATTAAAACGACGCGCCGCCAGACGTCCGCTGACATGGATGCAATTAACATTCCCTGCCGTCTTCAGTTGTTTCAACAGTTGGTGAACATGACTGACTTTAGTTGCAGATGTTGCCTCGTGGTCACGCTCTGCTAGAGGAATATATGAATTCTCCAGCAGGCCTTAGGCGGTCTTATTAAAACTATTTATTTGTCCCCTCTTAATGGCACAATTAATCCCGCCTGGAATTGGAAGTAGCATATAAACCGCTGTCTGCCCGTAATCTGCATGACGGCAGATGAATCGCCTTCCATGCTTGAGCGGTTGGTTCCTGTGATTGATGCTTTGTAAAATAATACATATTTAACTTTTATCGTTATCTCTTCTGGTCCAAGAGCTGGAGGCGGCGCTCAATCCGTGCACCTCCCGTCTTCAGATGTTTATGTAACAGGAACATATTGTGTGAGAGTCTCCGCCGCGTCGGTTCGTCTCTGCTCCATTTGGTTCCACGTCTTTTCTTGCTGTAGCGCCGCTGCAGCGTGGGTGGGAGTATTCACTGATCGCCGTAGCGACAGCACGTGAAATTGGCTGTGACATCATCCTCAGTGGGACACTTGCTGAATGAAAAAAAAAAAAAAAAGCATCCCAACAAAGGATTCTGCTTCCGGTCCAAATCGTTCAGCACGACCATCCGCAGCTTTTGCAAGTGGGACGACACGACGACAGCTCATCCCGTCCGGCCCGCGGGCCGATAAATGTCACGATGAAGACGAGTAAGATGTCTGCTGTGCTCAGCTGCGAAGCCAGCAGCTTGAATACGTGCAGGCAGACGGGTCCGTAGACACACGGGCCGCCCGTCTAATCATCACAGGTTAAACCAAAAAACAGCTCGGTGGCCTCTTTGCTTCTGGGTTTTGGTAACGTCTGTGTTGTTGTCATGGATGATATAATAAATCAGTATTAGTATTAATAAGACTGATAAACGGGGTCTCGCCGTGGTTGTTTAATTTACAAGAACGGCGGGGGGCCAAAGGGACGCGTTCTTGGCTGTGTGTCCCGTTAACTGGATTAGGTGACGTGTGGAATGAATGATTGATGGCGCTCAGATCTCCGCTCTGGGTGGGTATTAGAATAAAAGGTCTGGTATTGGAGGAGCCCCCAGAGACACCGAGCCCAGGGGAATCCTTTAATTTGTCCTTGTCTGAACCGCCGGCTGTCTCCTGCATATTTTCCAAAAATAGCAATAAGAGTAAATGTAAGGGAGGGGGAGACATGAGATTACTCATCCTGCTAACACGCTGTGTTCCTCCGTGATTATTCTACTGGAGCTAATTGCTAAGTAGAAGATGGATACTATCCGCATTGTCCTTGTATTAACTTTTAGCTCTTTGCAAACGCCGAGCCCGGTTTTTAACGATATCAACTCAGTTTCGTTGTGGTTGAAGCTCAGAGGGGCCTGAACCCCTTTCAGTTTGTTTCGGTTTGTTATTATTGGTTCGCTCAAAATCCGGTGAGCTGGAAAACGTGAAACAGGAACTTAAACCACGAGACTCGGCCCAATAACTGAGAATTATCTGCGAGTGTTTACTCAGAAATGTGACTCAAACTGTCCACATGGTGGTGATGTCATCATTGGTCAGAGAAGGCCACACCCCTCACGCTGTTTACGAAGACAGAATAGATTTCCACCAAGCCAAAAATCTGTGGATCATTATTGGACCATTATTGACTTTTTACGACAGTTGTCGATAGTTAAATCTTGCAGAATACGTTTTATGTTTTATATGGTTGAAACACATAAATTATTACATGTTGGTCCAAATGCCACCGAGCTTGTTGGATAGTTTACTGTTGAAACACAAATCTAAAGTTGGGGCTTTCAGTGTGTAACGGGCTGCAAATATTTTCATTAAAATACAAAATTGTGGTCGGACTTCCTATTTAGAACGGAGGCACTTTCTCTGCTTCGTGTCGCCAGCGGCTGATTTTGCAATTGAGCTGCTTCCTTCTGGAAAAAGGGCTTGAACCCTGAACAGCCACAATAATTTTTAGTATCAACAGAGCAAATAAAATGGACAGATTCCTCCAGTGTATATCAAATATAACAAAGCCCAATAGAAGGATGGAGAGGAGGCTCGGGAACACAATACGGTACATCCAATTAGGGCTCTGCGGTCCCCGGAAGTCTAATATGGACGGACGGAGAAAAAGTGGGATGATGATCCATTAATAAGACAGCAAGAATCCCGCAACGGCTTTGAGGGGGTCAAACAAACGCAGGGCTTTCAACCACAAGACCGATGTTCCTGTCACCCACTGTGACGCGTCCTCCATACTTATGATGCATTGTTTGTGCTTTCTTAAAAATCCATACCAGTTTTTGTAGTCTGGCATGTCGGGGAAGGTTTTACTCCGTGTGTCCTCTCTGCTCTGAGGTGCAGCATGTGATCAGTGCTGGAACATCTTCCCTTTGTGACAGAGGACTATGGGTCAGCGTCACCGCCTTTCAAGGGTAAGGGCATGTTTGACCTCAATAATCCGATCCAATCACCGATGCCCCCCCCCCCCACCAGTCTCGGGAATTTGACGAGTTTCTTAAAGACAGCCAGGGACTGAAAAAAAAAACTGCACATGTCGAAAACGAAAGATTCCATCATCTCTCCGCCGCTGCTTCATGGCGCTGCCATTTCTGATCACACGCCTGTTCGTCAGGTATTCTGCTTCATCACACTGCTCAGACGAAAAAAAGGGGCGTCTTTGTGTGGGAGGAGGCTGCTGGAACAGCGGGGCTCTTAGGAGGCCGTGATGCAGCTGTTTGTTTGTTATAATCAGCGGTTCATAAGTGATCCGGTGGGGGAAATAATCCAGACGTTTTCTCTGAACCCCGTGATGCCCACGTTTCTGTGTCGGTTAGCCTCAAGTTATGGGTCTCGTTTGTTTCACGGGTACCACAGGGCCTTTTTCCCGCTGGGTATTGAACAACAGTGCAGACAGGAGGGAATCTCTCACACCATCTTCCACCGATCCTGCAATAAATCCCCCGTCGGTGCCATATGGCGGCGAGTCATGTGTGGGAATCGCTATGCCGCCTTATTTATTTATTTATTTCCCAGGTGTTGCTTTTCCATTAGCGATTTATCTGTTATTGTGTCTGATCTGCTGCTGGGATCCGGGACAGAGGTTTGCGCCGGCTTCTCGGAAGCCGCGAATTCCGAACAATGTTGGCGGCTCTATTGGCTCCGTCCAGGAGCGTTTACCGGGTTCGTTTAGGGGGGGGATATTTAGTGACTAACCGCCAGTATTTAGCAAAGAATTATTCAGCTGTATCAGATGAAGTCTGAAAAACTTCTCAGTGGACACATTCATTATTCGTTCAAATGAAACTTTGACTGCATCACATACAAGTATTTTGCAAGTGGTTTTGTGTAGCCCATTAACCTCAATACATCCGTCTGAAATTAGCTCTCATATAATAGTGCCTGTTGAAGAGTGAAATTGGTTTATTCTCTGCATTACTCTCGGTGGTTGTTTATTCTGACAGTCCCCGTGTACAATGTTGTTGTTGTTGTTGAATCACTTGTGTTGCCTAGTGGCAAGGCAACGCACACAGAAGCAAGGCAGCGCAATTTCACACCTTTCCTGGCATTAAAATACCAAAAGAATCATTCGATTATCAATGTAACATGTTATTCTTTTCTTTTCTTTTTTTCTCGGATCTGCTCCCTACTTTCCACGCAGCGGAAGGTCGTAGGTGGAATTAATTATCGATTATGAGCTATTAGAAAAGTCAAGCGTTATTCAAATGAATGAAACGTATGGGCATAAAGGGAAATGTTTGGCCTTGCGTCAATTTTCTAAGCAGGGTATCACATTGAGAGACACTTTATTTAAAAAGCCTCCCAGAAGGGCGTCCTCGAGTCAGTAAACAAGGACGTTAGACTACATAAAGATTCATTCTTCAGTTTTTAGATTGGGGTCAGGGAGTCAAACGCAGCCCGTGGTGACTCGCAACTCTCATTTTAGATCAAGACGATCAAAGGGATTAAAAGTCAATTAAGTTGTCTACCATGTAGCCACGTAGGTCACCCTTTAGCTCCCAAGCGTTTGTTTGGTCTGAGTCTGTCCACCGGGCCTTTAATGTCCTCTTTCTACCTATTTGTGCCCAGAGACTCGAATGGGGGAAACACTTTGTCACCTGCAATGAAAAAATAAAACATTTACTGTCATCACAGTTCATGAAGATATTCTGTCAAGTGATATTTTTGCCTCTGGAAGCTCAGTAATAAATGATGAGAACACCCCCACTGGTCCCTTTCAATGGAGTCCAGGTTTGCAAAGAGAAAAGCAAGAGAAAAATGTTCCCTGTATAATTTTGACCTTGAATATTTAAATTGGAGATATGGAAGCATACGTCTGGTCTAATGACCTATTTCTCTAAAGCGAACCTTGACTAAATTTGGTTGATTGAAGTGAAAGCTTTTTTTTTTTTGATCATCTTCCCTTTAACAATAGTGCTTTTAACCCCAGTTTAAAACACCTCCCATCCCCACAGGTGCCTTTTTAAAGAAGTAATTCTCCCGACCAGCAGGCAGACATTTAAAAGTGAAATCTCCCTCTCTCCTTCTCTCAACAGACAAAGCTACGATGGGCTGGAAAAGAGGCTAAAGGAGGTCTTCAGTGAACGGAGCAGCATCCTGCACCAGCTCTCCAAAACATCAAAGGAGCTGGACAGCATTAAAGGCAACCTCAAGGTTGGAAATGTATTGTTTCTTTGTGGAAGATACAGCAATATTGGAAGGCTTAGTTGGGGTTTGAGCCCGACGTAATCCTCAACCGCACGGTGACCTGGAAACCCACGGCTCTTGTCATTTTCCGTCACTCTGTTGTACAGCAACTCGCCGCTATTAAATGTTAATGTGCAAATGTTCTTATTCAATTTGGTGAGCCGGCCAATTGTTATGATGCCTCACTGGGAAACGCAGGTGCTGAGTAAGCGTTATGAGACGGAAAAGCAGATCCACCAGCCAGGGAATTTCTCTAAAGCGCTAACGACAGTTTAGTTTAGGAGAAGATTGACAGGAGATCAATTCACAGAGATGCAAACGTTGCTCCATCCAATTCTCATGCACTTAACTGTGACCGTCAATACTTAAAGCAAGTCTTTCCTGAAAACAGTGTCAGCAGCACATGGCCGGAGCTACGGAACCTCTTTAACTAGACTTCCTCGTTATTAATCCACAGCATGAAAAAGGGCTCCAACAAGATTTTTAGAAATAAAAAATATTTATATCTATCTGAATAGTCCCCCCCCATTGCCCCACTTTGCATGCATATGACTGCTGGTCTTTTGTAACTTCAGGTTGCCCTAATTAAGTTTACCCCGACTCCTAAAGCAAGGCTGATTTTGCAGAATATAAGAATACAATTATTTTTTTGCAACGGGAGGTATTTGGGCCGTTTATTGAGAAATGTTCTGTTTTGAATTATTTATATAATATATAATTCTATGAACATTTCACAAATCATTTACCTTGATGTAAAATAAATAGTGCTCATCGCTGCCAGCCAGTTTAGGTCAACTTCATCATGGCTCTTGGCGATTAAAGGAAACTCAATTATACATACAGACATTTGAATCATTCATGATGTTTCAGTTGCATTAGTGTTCGCAACAATGATCTTGCAAAATGTAACTCCCTCTTGGACATTTAACTGTGTGAATCTTCATCATCCTCAAAATGAGTTTAGATAACGATGCATCTTTCAAAGGCTCGGATGAACAATACTTCTGTATGCACAGTGTGTCCTCAGTCCTTCGGTATTACTGCATCTGCCTTCCTTTCATCATGAATATGAGCCTGACAAAAAAGACAAAGCGGCATCTTTTTAAAACCCGTATCTCACTACATGACCTTAGAAAAAACACACACAGTTGCTTCCTCAGTGCACTATAAGTGTGCTGCTGTCTACCAAAGTACGGTTGTTAACACAGCAACTCGGCCACGGGGTGCCTCTGGTGAAGATCTCACTCTTATTCGGTTGAAGTGACAGAACAACACCGCGGTTGAAAGCCCGCCAGCGTTTGTTGTCCTTGTTGAAGCGGAGCCGCTCACATTGCCAGAGAAACTGAACGTAAATGACAGTAAAATGGAACGAAGAGTCACACCGAAGGGAAATTAAACCCCAACCTCGGGAGAACGTCGATGCCGAGTCGTCCACGGGCTACAGAAGAGCGGCCCACGCTAAACTCCTCCCTTACAGGCGCTTCGGAACGGCACAGCAGAGCCGACGCTGGGCGCGAACGCAGCAAAGTGTGCGTTTCTAAACTCCAGTATCGAGAAACAGCCCCGCCTCTTCCATTTAGACCCCGGGGCGTTTCGCCCCAAAAGCTTCCGTCTGAGTGATGGTTTCTCCTTTGCATGGTGTCGAAGGTCGTCGGGCTTCTGGCCATTTTTGGGGGCCAATAGAAATGTAAAGAAAATCGAAGAAAGAAAAAAAAGGAAAAGCTTATGCACATATTCTTTTTTACTGCTTGTGTGCAAGATGTGTCCCATGTGTCTGGGTAAACCGCTGGGGAGGACTATCAGCGTCCCAGGGCCGGGCTTTGATGTCTGCTCTCTCCAGGCCAGCAAGGTTGGCATCTATCCGGCTCCCCGGGTTAGATTTGGAAAAGTGTGCTGTGGAACAAATCTAATCTTCAGGGGGAAAAACATCATCTACATACAAATAAATCATCAGCTTTTAAAAAGAGGATTAAGGGAGAAGCTGTTAGTATTTCTGGAAATATTGCATGGAGCAAGTGTTTACGGTTTCAACGAGTCCCCCACCAGGTGGAGAGTGGCATCACTCATTATTCAGCCTACCTCACTGGGGTCTTAGGCGACTATGTGGATTTTACTTTGAAAAATAAGTGTTGTAGACCCACTACTTCTGCACTGGTTACGTCTAACAATAAGAAACGGAATCATAACAACAGGACAGATCCAGTGAACATAATGCTAATGTAGGAAATCCTCACGTATTCACTTTAATGCTGTTTAACTACAGAGGCTTTTATTTTGCATTTTTACAAAGCGGGCAACTGGGATGTTTTATGGCCCAACGAAAATCCAATCACAAATGTATCCGTACCTTTACTGTATACCCCCCAATTTTATACAAACATGGCCAGAATGTCCATTTGATGATTTCTGGTCTCCTAAAGATGAAATGGGAGTCCGTCCAAATGTTCAGCCTCTTTTCCGATGGAACTTTTATTATCCTGTCTTCTATTTTGGAGAGTTACGTAGGGAGGAGCAGAAGTGGGTCGTCTGACTCGTGGCATGACATATAAAACAATTATTTATTTCAAGGGGAAATGACAAGAGACAGGGAACTGAATTGGTGTAATTATGCTGAATTCCTTTTTTTCATTTCGCAGTTGGAGTACGTGAAGAGAGGTTTTAGTGGCCTTTCTCTCTCCTTTCTCTTCAACATAAATTAACATTAAGAGAATTGAAGGGCTTCGAGTGTATTTTCATGAACGCAACGTTAATTGTCACAGATTTCCCCTTCAAGAACCTTTTTAAAGGGACACTTTCTCTCCCTTTGAGTCCGTATTGACTAAGAAGTCTGAACATTTCTGTTTCTGCTCGTGACAAATTAAAAATATCTTGCAAAGCAATCAGAGGCCTAACGGATCCATAATTACCCAGCAGGCAGGTGGTTGGATGCCAGTGGAACCCGAGCTGCACCCTCGTTAGGATTTTAAGACGACATTAATCAGCTTTTTGGGGAGCATCAACTCCATTTTGCATCATACAAAAATATTCACTGGAATTATCTTTTTGATTCTGCCGACATTCCAAACTTCTAGCGTGTGAAGTTAACACTGATGTTCGACTGTTGCTGGAGGGAACTTGTAACCTTGGAGACCCCGGGGCCATTTTGAATCGTACGGTTGAAGGGAAGTGTGTTCAGTCTGTTGGTTTTCCTCCGTCTGCTGTCGGGGCTTTGAAATAATTCTCATCTTCACTTTCTTCTGCTCCCTTTCAGTCGCTAAGGAACGATGACTCAGTGGCCAAGAAGGATGTGCAGAGGATCCTGGAGCTCAGCCACAAACAGAGGTAAAGAATACGACAAGTGATGCCAACAAATCCCCCCTTAATTAAGTGCTAATTAAAAGTAATAACGTAGTAAAAAGCCTGTGCAATCGTTCTTATCAGAAAGTCAATGTCTGATCCGTCGTCTCCATCGATGACGTTGGGAAACTTTCACCTCGAGGGGGTCTGAACTATTGCTGCTTTTGAAAATATCTCGTTCTTTAATAAAAAGCCAAAGTTTTCCAGCGTATGTGAAGTATTCAGAGCTATGACTTCCAAACATTTGGCTAAGAAGCAAATCAATGAACCGGCTAAACGTTTAGCTTTGTGTAACTGCAGAGCTTCTTCCGCCGTTATGAGGATTGGACCCCAAAGAAAAAACGATAATGCGGAATATTTTCCAAAGGTCGTCGTACTAACATGACGTGACTGTTCTTCTTCTGGTAGAAAACACTGCGTCCCTGTTGGATATCGGCCCACCTGCTCTTACTGGCGTTGCCCTGTTTGCTCCTACGTGGCCCGAAACGCAGGATACGACGTAACCCAGTCGAAAATCCCAAAAAGGAACAGGCCTGTCTGCTCCGGGTGGAAAAGCGTCCGTGATTTATGTTTTATCTTTTTGCGAGAGGGCTGGAAAAGTGTTTACCTAAAGTGCTTCACCAGTTAGGATTGTCTGATTAATGCGGCGTGTAATGAGACTTTTAATGATTAGGAGTCATTTGTGGGCTTCATGCTCTCTGGAATGTCAGCCTGATTGAAGTCCCGCCTTCTGCGGGCCGCATCTTGATAGCCAATCAATAGCCAATCACCAGTCAGCGGCGGCCCTCTCCTGCCATCCAGCTGAAAAAAACCATAAAGCTCGGCTCCGGGTTGCCGACGTGGCATTCGCGAGCTGCAATTTTCTCAAAGTGTTATTAATCCAACTTTGGAGTTCCAAAGCTGCCAAGTGCGATTACTGGGCGTCTCCATCACGGTGGGCGCAGACAGGTGATTCATTGCGAGTCATTTATTTTTGACAACTTTTAACGGCGGTAGGATTGGTTTCTGAAAATGATTTTGCATCCGACGGAAATGTTCACCCGCAGACCAGATGGAGACGGTCAAAATGTGAAGCTTTTCAAGTGGTTATAATTCATTTGACTGGGATTTAACCTGCTGCCAAGATATTTGCAGCCACGTTCCCCATGTTACCCTTCCGTTATGTCAATATAGCGTTTCCTGTGACCTTCTCCCTCGGTTGTGATCACTTCTGATCCTGTTTGTACAAAACATTTGCAAGGCTCCGATACAGGAGATGAGAATATAAATGAAATGCCAAATCAAATAGTGTGTAGCTGCTGAGCGGCGAGATCCTTCCTCCGCAGAGTGCGACCGCGTCGTGTACGTTTACACTCACGGCCTCGCCGGCAAACGCTAAATAGAATGCTGCCTCTAATCTCTCCGCGCTGCCTTGTGATGTGGTTTTAAGAAGCATTTTTGGAACCACTGACCCATATCACTTGGCCTCTTGATTTATAATTCATGGGCACTGCTGCTATCTGTGCGCGGGGGGCATCAAACGCTACTGAAATACCCGCCGCACACCAATGCTAAACATTGATGTTGAGACTGCAGCACCGGCGTCATGCAGCAGGCAGGAAGTCAGCGACACAAAAGCTGAGAAAATCCTACAAAATGCCTTTAAATGTGTCCTGTTCTTATAAAAAATGTTACCTAATTTCTGTCCCTTTTTCATATTTGCAATTTGCAATTTCTTAGAAGAAATCTAAGAGAAATGTTTGAATCTCTTTGTGAAAAGCAATGCATTGTTAGCCAGTTTGGGAATGCCTTGTCTTTCCCCTCCGAGCAGCACTGTCAATAAGCTGCTCATTGTGCTCGTTTATCCCTGTAGTAAAATAATAAAGCCTGAAATAAATCCACAAATGTCACTCGTTCAAACATCACTTTCGGATCGATTCAGGCAGCTTTTCTTTTTGCAACGTCCGATGCGATAACATTACTCTCCGTGCGGAATGCCTGTCGACGGTGCTATATTTGAGCGCGTGCGTAGGATGAGCTAACCCGCTGTCCCTCCCACCTCACCAGAGAGGAGATGAAGTCCCTCCAGGCCGCCCTGCAGAAGCAGCTGGATGAGGCGAACGAGCGCGCCGAGAAGCAGCAGGCCGCGGTAAGACAGCGCCGACCCGACCGTCGGCCTCCAGCCACCTGTCACACAGCGAGACGGCCTCATTACCCAGCAGCCCGCTCTCTCATCTCCTCGCCACGCCGCTTAATTGAAACTCCGGGCAATTTGTGAGGGAGAGGCTTTGTGTCCACACCCCAACTCGGATATTAATAAGAGCCAAATACGTAATAACGTCCTTATCGAGGCATCTCTCCATCTGCAGCATCTGCAGTCCAACGGAGTGCCACCCTGCTTTTAATTAAACGCCACCCAGGTATCTTAGACACTATCTTGGCAGATTAAATTCCGTGCATGTGAACACACGGGGGGGGAAATAAACATTTGCATCCCCATCCCCCAAAGTCCACGGTGATGTGTTCTTATAATGATCATAAGTGCACTGCGATCGTGCACATGTCACATGTTTGCTTCCTGCTGGACTCATTCACACACAAATGAACTGGAACACAGACGCTGGAAGAAGATCTATTTTGCCGTTACAACTTGGTGACCACGATGATTTTCCCATTATTGATTCATTTTGTGTTGATTACCAACTGAATGCATCAACTAATCATTTGAGCTGCAGTAATTACATTATCAAAAATGCAACAAAAGCGAGGCTTTCGTTTTAATTAACCATATATGCAGATGATGCTCTGCTCATACGGTGATTATAGAGACCCGACCGAGGCAAAAAATGATTCAAGTTAATTACTTTTATCTCTAACTGAGCTTTTTTTCACAGGATACTGACGGTATTAAAGAGAAAATGGAAAGAGTCATTCAACGAAAGCAGAAAAGACACCTTTGCTCGCTCTAATGACAAGAATAATTAATTGATGACTTCTGTTCAATCCGCGCAGTCTGCTGCAAATTAAATCCAATTTGAAAGTAGAGGAGAGGATCACGTTGGGAAGCGTTTCCTCTCGGTTTAATGAGGCCGTCGTCGTAACGATCAAACAATCCTCACCACGAGGGGAATATCGTTGGACAGTAACGTGATGCCGGTGATCAGTCACTGGCTTTCATAGTGTGTGTTGACATTTATCTGTTGTTTATGGAGTATTTATCTGCCCCCCCCCCCCCGGCTGCTGAGATCGAAGATTAAAAAGAACCCTTCTGCGGCGTTTCAATGGCCACTGCGATGCATCTCCTTTAAAGGCCTCGTGTCCACTTACAATTGAGCAGGAAAACGGAGCTTTCAAGCACCAGGCTCGCAAAAATGTTTTTTTTTTTTTATTAAATATGCATCGCGGCCTCTGATGTGTAAAATCCCCAAAGGTCCACATGAAGCAAAAGACCAGAACACGGCGCTTTATGAGCAAGGAGATTTTTTTCCAGCTTATTTTCAGACAGCATCCTTCATGAGGACGATCCTTCGTCCCTGATTGTGCGTTTTGTTGATGTCTGCTCGGTAGATTCCGTGGTAAATATTTTCCTTTATGCAAGCAGGGGGCCTCTCCAACTTCTTGGTTTATATTCTGCTTTGAAAAATGTTATTTTGATGTCACCGCTTGCTTCGTGGCGTCAACCGTCAAAAACCCCCCAAAGCTTTTGCAAAGAAAGATGAGAAGTGAGCAGCGCAGAAGCACGAGGGGCAGCGCAACAGCAGAATATGGGAAAAAGTTTCTACAACAAAATATCTTTATATAATATTATGTATCTAATCTGGATTGTTGTGAAATTTGAATCAAATAACATGAATTGATTTTCCCCTTGTGTCGATTCCTTTATGTATAAAGTGAAGTAAAAATAAAAATAAAAATCCACCTCGAGTCAAAGCTAACTGATGATTGGAGCTTGCGCGGCGGCGCAGACATTAACCTTTAACCTTTATCGTTAAACACGAACTGATGAGGAACTGATCTCCATCATGAGCCCAACAGCCCCGTCAGTCTCTCCCTCCCCTTATTGTTTTTCTGCTCCATCTTGATGACTCTTCGCAGTGGAAATAAACGGGTGTAAAAACCAAACCTCGGCCTGTCTCTCTCTCTCTGTCCCCCCCCCGCCCGCCCGCCTGGCGAGGGTTGGTGGAAGCCAATGGCGGCGGTTTGCCATCTGCTGCCGCCGTTTGAACCTGCCCGGCTGCCGAACACGAGCCACGGGCCTCCGCCGGCAAGACGCGATAAACAAAGACATGGCTGCGACGCGATATAGACGCCGAGGAAAAGGAGCTGCATCGCTCGCCGCAGGAAGAAAATGCCTCCGCGTATCATTTTTCGCCGCGCCCAAAGAACCTCGGGTTGAAAGGTTTCTGGACGCTGCGCTGACTTTGGGGCGAGGCGAGAGGAACGTAAGACGCGACAGATGGTTTCTCCAATCAGGGCGAGAAGCTCTTTAAATCTCCCCGGGTGGCCGGCTGAACGCTGCGGATTAAAATGTCACGGCGGCCTCGGTCAGTTTATAAGGTGGTGCTTTATGGACGGAGCCATCGGTGCGGCGCCTCAGTCTGAACTCACCGAGTCACACCGGCTAAACGAAAGATAATAAATCAGGTGCTCGCAGTGATGCAATCGCAAGCGTTCAATATACTAAACTAATTGACTGAGGGCGATTCAATCACATCATTCCACTCTATAACTAATTAAAAAAAGGGCTGTGTGGGGCAGCAGGATGCTCCTTCCTTCGCTCGTACGCCACAAACAAACCACGTCATCAAGTTTCCTTTGTGTGTTTTGTGTCTTCAGATTAAATTTCTGAAAGTGGAGATGGAGAAAAAAACCAAAATCATCAAGGATTTACAGCAAGAGGTGAGTCATCAAAGTTTCCCACCAGGCTGCTCTCAGTTTATGGCTTCATAGTGTAATATGGGACCATAAATTAAGCATTTACGCTTAATTTACTGACCGAGAGCCCACTCCTGCTGCTCTGCCTGCTTCCATTTGGTTTAATGACTCCGCGTGTTTGCCAGGATCCTTTTGGACGGCGACTCGGCCGATGGTTGATTTTCAAAGGAAGGCGGCATGAATGTATCTGTTTTATCTGCTTTATTTCTCTGAAACAAAAGTGTGACATTTAGTGCGGATGCCTTAGACAGCCGGCGGGGGGGGGGGGAGTTACTGTAGGTTTACTGAGAATATGTCACGCCGCAATATCTTCCATCTGCCTCGTAGGCTGTAGGAATATAACAAAAGGAATAAAATATAGCACCAAAAAAAAAAAAATCCTTTCAGTATGATTTTCCCTTTGGTGGCTTTGAAAGGGTGAAATACTCTGACAGAGGAAAGGAAATCATCCACATTTAAATGATTTAACTGAGTTCTACGGATGAGGAAGACCTTTTACTTTTGTTCGTCAAGTCAATGAGCTTTGATCAACTGGTCACCTGGAACCTTCATGACGCAGCAAAACACTTGTTTTTCTGTTTTTCAAATAGCTGTATACACATATCCGTAGTTATTAAGATTATTTAGTGTATATATATATATATGATGATGATGACTGATACTGAAAGCCTCTTTTCCAGATGTTCAGGGTCGTTTGAGGCCAAACGTGACCAGACTTTGCTAACGTGACGTTTCCCAAATGAAGAAGCAGATGATGCTTCAACGAAATCAATTGACTGTGATCAAAGTGGAGCCGTAAAGAAAACAGATTCAACATAAGATGTGTTAATCACACCTCAAGGACACACACACACACACACACACACACACACACACCTTATGTCGCGCTGAGTAGTTCGTTAAAAAAAAGTCCCCTTGCCGATCTTGCTGCTTTTTTTCTCTGGGACCTCATTTAGCTGCGGAAGTAAAATATGAATCCGTCACATCCACTCACTCTTCCCGTGACCGACCGACAGAAATACATCGGTAATAGATGGAAACATCTTTCATTGCATCAACAGTGATGTCTAGCAGTGAGTTGATCGATCTGAAAGTGGGTGAACTTAACTGTGTAATCAGAGGTAAATGTGGAGACTTTTCCACAGTCAATCAAGTCATTTTCACCTTTACAATAAGTGGCACGTGTTGGTTTTGCGGCGAGGCAGAGCGCTCAAAGTGACTAAATTAACTTTCTAATTAACAGTTAGGGATTCCTTTAGTTTTTAAACAACATCATATTCGGAAATAGAACAAGACGCTGACAGACCGCCGGCGCGGAAACCGTCTTCGCTCCGATGTTTGTTTGTTTTTCCTGCTACATCCATGAATCCGCCTCAGACTCAGCGAAGCGTTGGAGGTTGCAGACGCAAAAGGGACCAGAGCTCCACTCCGGATCGCCCTCTGTTGGACCGTCTCGGTCTCGGGGGGGGGGGGCCTTTTGTGAAAAATAATCCCACGTGGGTCATCGGTGGTCAAGAGAAGTCATTCTGACATCTGTGACGGTCTGACATTTAAGCCCCGGCTCCACGCAGTGACTCACTGGAATCTTTCCCGTGCGTCTATTGCGCTCGTGAGTAATAGAACATTTCTTGCGTGCCGGAACCCAAAAGGTCAAAAGGAGTTTTAAGCGTTATCGCCCGCTCGCTGCCTCAGAAAAGGAGCCGACTGACCAAACCCTTGCACGGTGACATCACTTTTTGCATCATTTAAGAGAGTTGGTTTGATTTCCTTGAGACGCTGCAGTTTGCATGTATGTATTTAATACTTTGTATTGGTAAAAACTTTATATAATAAACAGCTGAACCTGCATTGCCCTGAATATGGACAATGCGGCCATGCGACGCGTACAAAACAAGCCGATTGAGTGGAAGGAACCCTTCGTAAAGGCTGAGCATCCCCTTTGTTCACGCCGCCGTCCTCCAGTGTGTATTTCATTTGCAGGCCGCCGTGTCAGCCGGGAGGCTCCATGGCTGCAATCCACCGTGAAGTCATTATCAATGATTTGCTTTCAGGGCTGATTACGAGTATTTTGATGGAGGATGATTTACGGACTGACTCGCATCCCGCTGTGGGATTCGTCAGCGTCGTGACAGACGGCCGCGCCAGACACTCATCTTCCGTCCAAAATGGCTTCCCGCCGTTGTCTTGCGCCTTGCTGATTTGATTTCACCCGCTAAATGGCAGAAAAATATCATGCGTGGAGGCATTTAGTGGATCTCTCCGTGACGCTGAGTGAGTGAGAAGAAACTAAAGAAAGCAAAGCGTGTCGTTGGGTGTGAAGAACGGGACGAATGCAAAAGAGATGAAAACCGCTGAAGATGATGGTCGTTTATTATCTCAAAGTCAAGTTTCTTTTGTTGGAATTATTGTGGATTCGATATAAAGTTACTTGTTTATGTTCTTCAGAAAGTGCTAAAACGCAAACGTTAAAAGGATGAATCCCAAAATGATCACTTTTACTGTTATTTAAATTGAAGCTCAAATAAAAAGAGAAAATTGCCAGACGTACTCTAATTAAGCAATAAAGTACCTTGTTGCTTTTATAATACGTTACCAGCGAAATTATAAATAGTAAGTAAATAGCTGCCTTTCAGCTCCAAATAGTATCAGCCAGCAAACGTTGTGTATCTCATTTCAGTAGCCTAGTCGCCATACGTTCACTTAAACGGCATCGGGTCTCCTTGAATTGGTCTGGCTGTGAAAGCTTTCATTGCTTAAATGATTATTCGTGGGATTTTTGGGCTTTTTCTCGGCGATCGCCACCGAGCTAAAAGCCAAAATGTCGCGCAAAATCGCGTCGTGATGCGGAACGCTGGGGTCGACGTGAACAGCGGCTGTGCGTCATCGCTGAATAACGCACACTCACTGCCAACCAATCAGAACGCTGGGTTTCATCTCCCCTTCCATCCGTGACTGAGCGGTCTTGTGCGTTCACCGCTACATCGGCCACCTTCTGAAAAGCCAGTTCCTTCACACTGGAAGACTCCACACACACCATCCCTGACGTGCACCGAGAGGGTAAAAGCGTGCAGAGGCGCGTCAAACGGAGCGCGACGGCTGATGGCGTGCCGCGCCGTTTCTGTGCATTCAACGGGCCGGGTGAAGCGCGGCCTGATCGACGGCGGGCGCCATCCAGCGAGAGGAGCCGCGCTCAATAAAAAACAGGTTTTGATGGTTTAAAATGACAACTGCTATAATCAGAAGTGACCCAGCCCCACTATTCCACCACGGGATGCTGCGCAGTGACTGGTTCCCATTTTTCGCCCCTTAAAACAAAGCGGGGTCCATTAGCTGCCCCTGCTTGTGGGGTTAGAGGGGCCAACGTTTCACAGGCATGACGGCCTCAAATCCTCCAGTGATTGACAAGCAGGGTAACGCCAACAGACCAGTCTGTTATTTTACATTTTTCATGTAAAAGAACAGACTCTGCTTGTTTGTGATCTATATAATTGCGTGAATACTGGAGCATAAATAAGAGCGTTGGCGTGGGGGGGGGACGGGTGGGTCAAAACGAGTGGAAATTGACCCACATTGCCTGAGAACGCATGAAATAATAATAATATTTTCATAAAGAATCATAGAGGCTGTTGTATTTTAGCGCCTACGCTCTCAATGCCTTCGTGACCCCCAAGAAGGTTGCGAATGTGTCACTCAATCAAAGCTACGGCTAATTTATGCTCATTATTTTTGTGGTATTTTTTTTCCCTTCACGTGAACACATTCGGCACGTGGGAGAGGAATCTGTGCAGCAAACAGCCACTACATTATTGTGCAAAGTTGATGATCGTCATTTTCCTTCTCGGCGGCTTGACTGACGTGAGCTGGAGATCTAACAAGAAAAGAGGCGGGGAAATTGTTTCCTCTCCACAATGTCAAAACAACGTCACCACAGTTTCAGTCTGACTTTTCTCGTGAACGTCTCGATGCACGATCCCTTCATTTGGATGCAAATGGGATCTCGGGATTGGACCAATACAGCGCTCTCATGCAGCGAGCGAGTACCTCCATCTCCTGACATCGCGCTCACGTCTCATCTCCACAGCTGGGATCTCCACAGCAACGTCCACCCGCAGCATTGATTTTCACTCCTCGGAGTTCAGGAGGGGAAACCTGGAAAGCGTGACAGTGAATCCCAGCCTTAGAAACACACACACACACACACACACACACACACACACACACAATTCCATTCATCAGACAGCTTTCTGCTCTATCCGATGTGGCTCGGGGTGAGCCGGTCGGTTAACAGAGTCTGGACACATCTCTTCTTCTCAGTCAGTGTCAGACGCCTCTCCAGGAGTAAATAAGTGCACATAACGCTCCGCTAATGCACGCCGAGCACGCCCGGCGGCCTCGCCGCTCCGTGCGCATCACGGGGAAACTCTCTCGCTGGAATCATGCATCCAGGAGTTGTTTTATGCTCCCAGGCAGCATCGCCCTTCCCCGACAACCACCTGTAGCTGTGGTGAGTTGTGGTCTTCTTGGGCCACGGGGGACCGATGGGACCTTTTTGTTTTCGTCCTGTACTCGGCATTCACTGTTTTCCTTTGCTGGGGCGGGTTCAGGAAGTTCCGGGATTGGGATGCCGTGAGCGCCTTGGATCAAACCTGCCGTGGATTTCGGTGTCTTCTTCAGCGGAGGCTGCTGTCCTGGAGACGTTTGCTGTTGATTTGTTACCATCGTAAAGGAGCCAGTGCCTTTGGACTGTTCCCCATTCAGTTTTGTAATGATGTGTTTTTAGTTTGTGTTCGGTATCAGGAGTGAGAACCCGGAGCTTAAGGATTGGCAAACATAATTAGGCTTTATTAAATCCATATGTGGACTAAGATCACGTCGTTTTGTAGTTTTGTAAAATGTGCCATTCATCATGAAGTGCAGTAATCCAGCCAGAGCTCGTGTGTAATTCATTCTGCAGTCGCCGATAA